TTTTTTGTAGCTCATCACTGTCGAGCTACTACCTTCTGAAAAGTGAGTGAGTACTTGTTCACAATGTAATGCTATTTTATAAGTTCATCATAATTTACTAGGCTGTTCATATTTTAGGGAAGTTCATTTTAAATATTTTGATATATGATCTACCTCTTCACTGCTTGATCAGGAAAGAAGTGATGTTAACTTGTTTTCATATTTAAAAAGAGACTGTACTTTATCATTTGATTTGATTGTTTAGATGACTCGAATATTTTAAAGTATATTGTAGTGTGATTGTATTTGGTTTTCATGTTTATATTCATTATTCATGTTTTAGTCATTCTGTTTATTAGTCCGTCTTTTTATTCTTATAAATATATATTTTTAATAATTAAGATACAATAACATACCAAACAAATATTAATTTTAAAATATAATGCTGATTTTTGTTGTTTGACTTCTTAATTAATATTTTTAATATTTTTTGTTTTTATCCTTGTCTCTATATATTCTAATTTGAAAACTTTCACCATCCATCTGGTGCATTATAACCTTTAAGGTTACGCACCATGAAACTACCAACCAACAATGAGATCATTTATGCGAAATTTCAAGCCAACATTTGAGTCAACAGGATCAATGCTGTCGTGAATGATTGACATTGCGGGTACTGCAAGCTAAGGAATCAATATTTGATTAATTTATTGTTATACTTGATAGAACTGATATTGGGGAAACTGTAGAAGCTTTGAAGCCTAAACCTCTACAAAAGCCTTGAGGACTGTGTGTTGAAGACAGAGGTGTAGTCAATGTAATTTGTAAATATTTGTTTAGCACAGTAAATATATTATTAATATTCACTTAATGTATATTTGTTAATATAAACAGTGAATATGTACAAAAAATAGTAAAAATTATCCCTATTCAGGAAAGATTTGTTAAAATTGTTATTCCCCTTCTCCTACTAAGCTTTCAAGTTCTGTAACAGTTTTCTGACTTTTTAAATTAAGTGTTGAAAAGTGTGAAAAATCAGGATTTTTAAACACAGATTTAAGTAGTTTGAAAGTTAATAGAGTTATAATAATGTTTATTTTATTGAATTAGAATGAGAAACATATTTGAATTGAAAACATATTTGAATAAAACATATTAACATGCTGATAATTTCTTTTAACTTATACAGTGTCACAAAAGTAATTATTAGTTTTCAAAATTTTTTAATAATATCAATGCATAAAATTGAAATTATAAAACATGGTTTTTTTAAGCATACTGTTACATAGTCTTCTACATTAAATATTTTTCCCAAAAATTAATTATGTTTAAAAATTGATATCTTTTCAAAAATGAAAATCGTTTGAAAAGTGACTGAACACGTAACAAGACTGCTAACAAAATAATTTACAATAAATATATTATATACATATTTGTGTCACTACATAGTATGTCAGAAATGGCATGGAAATGTCAGAAATGGCAATGTATATGGGCATGTTTTTGGATCATTATGACTAGGGAAAATGCAATATACCATCAGAAGTTAAGTGTTCAAAATAAATGAATTATTATTTATTATTTAGTTTATTGCATCAAACTGTTTGCTATTTCAATGCTTCCAGTAGTTTTTACTGATTTTTGTTGCATTAGAGCTACTGACAAGTACTTTGAGCAGTTTTTTTTTTTTTTTTTTTTTTTTTTTTGTATTCTAAGCAGTCATTTTCTTTGCTTTTGCATAGTGAAAGCTACAATGTTGCATTAAACCCATGCCTGTCTTGTCTGGAGACATCACGACTATTATGGAGGACAGCTATTAAGCAGACCATTCTGTCTTATTATTCCTTAAACAATAATCATCAGTAGAGCATGAGCGATTGTTAACATAACCCATCTTACAATTGCATGTTTGGTGACATTTCAGCTAATGATATAGGCTTATGATCATATCACATGAATGTAGTTCATTTACCTCAAGCCTGTAGCCATGTTTCTGACAACCAGGTATTTTGCATGAAGAGAACAGGCAATATCTAAAATGTCATCTCCTGAATTCTTCAATAATGTTGTATGGATGCCATTCTCAATTATATAGATATATGAAGAAGGAAACTTAATTTAGTAACAAATTAAAAACTAATATAGTTATTCCAAAATATTATAATTACGTGCAACTGTAGTATTCCTTAAACAATAATAATTTTTATGAAATTACTTTTAAAATTCCAAAACTTCCAATACAGTTAAGTTTACACAAGAAATACACAAGAAGCACTAATAAAAGCAAAATCAAGGAGTAAAAAAATGGTTTCTAAAAAGAGAGAGGAGGAAGAAAGAAGGAAGAAAATTCTAAATAGCAATTTCATTTTTTAAATAATTGCAAAGACCAAAAAGTATGTTAAATACAACAAATTAGTTTAATCTTACATAAGCAGGGTGAGCACAAAACTTGGCGAGAGTTTTTATTTGGTTGTGGTTTCCAGCTGTGTGTTTTCTTGTGGCAAACATAGAGCTTTTTTTCGGTGATGAGTTTAGTATATAGCCAGAAGATTTTTTTTTAAATTTAATTTTGAAATGTGTTTATTTTTAAAAGTTTTATTGTTTAATATTTTCAGGAGGTTAAGCTGTTGTTTGGTGGGAGAATGTTGGATTTCAGACGATGTGTAGTTTATAATTTATGAATGTTTTCATTTAATTTTATTTAATTAATGTTTTTCGGGTCAGTTAATTATTTCCCCCCCCCCACGTAACAAAAGATGTGGAATGTTGAAAGTGTTGAGCAAAATTGGTTCAATGTGTTGAATTCCACGATGATAGTAACTTGTATATTTTAGTGAGTTTACGATACATCCATTGTTAATGAATTTGAATAAGTTTACTTGGTTGACAATTTTTTGATGCAAGTGAAGAGACATTTGGTATGTATTATTTTTGAATTTTTGTAATTTTTAGTTTCATGTTTGGGACTTGAATTTTTTTTATGCTTGCATTGTATTTAGCTTCATTTTCGTTTGGCAATGTTAGATTTTACATTGGCATTTCTTTTTGCAATTGACAGTTGCGAAATGATATGATGAAAAGAGTTTGGTGCAAACTTACCATGCTTATGGAAGATTAGCCACAAATTATATACTATAAAAAGCTAATAAGCTAAAATCTTAGAATGAAATGCTTTTATCTTGATTCTGTTTTTTCTCAAGAGAATCGCCAAAACCAAGACAACTAATCCTGTTCTAATATAAGAAATCCATAATGTTTCTGGAAGTTATGAGATGCCTGAAAATTTTAATTATAGTTCAATAAATGACTATAACTCCACCTCTGGAGCTGTATGGATTTCAAAGAAATTTATACAATGTAAATAAAAACGACAGGATTTTTTATTTTTTTAATTGAATCAAACTGAAGAATTACATAGTCAGAAATTAAAGAATTATAACTATCCAAATCTTTAAACTGTGTGTGGTAATTTATACTGAGCTTAAACAACTAAATAAAATTTGAATTTTTTTTAATATTTGAGAAAAATATAAAAAGTATATAATATTGGAAAATATATATACATATAATAAATTATAAAAAGAAAATCATTTACAGAAATAAAATTTCAAGACAAACTTTTGGTCTAAATAGAAAAGTATATATATTTATTTGTATCAGCTGCTTCAAGAAAGCAAACGTATTTATAAAAATTCATAAATTAGTCCTTAATTTGCAACTAAAAACAGGAAATCTATTCAAATTTTCTTAAAATGGTTAAACATTTAACAGTTTTTGATGTATAATATGTTATTTAAAATAAAAGGAAACACGAGAATTGTCAGAGATATCCAGTGAAACACAGTACTGTATTTTCAAAAATATTACAGTAACTTAGGATTGCATGCTCTCAAACTTGCAACAGAACTTTGTTAATCATATGAAATATATGCTAATCCAGAGACTATTAAAATAGACCTGGGAATAAAATAATTCTACTTTTGTGGAAATATGTAAAGTGCTAGATTAACTTTTCAAAATTTGGGAAAGGAAAGAATTTTAAACTCTAGGATTAGGTAATATTCACTGAAGAAAGCTAATTTATCATATTTGGTGGAAGGTCAATTTTTAGCATTTAGCAGATTGAAAGGAGAACTTTACAAACTGAACTTTGTTCCAATAATAGAACATACCAGAGGAGTAGCTGTGATATGGGAATATATGTCATATATAATGGATTAGTACAAATATATTGATGTTTTAAAATGGAATTTGAAGTTATCAGCTTAAAATCTTATCCTGCACAATCATTTCAAATAAGATAGTGATCCTAAGTATATTGCCATGAGCGTGTGACTGGTTATTATGTAATTATCTTGAAGTACCCATAGTATCTCCTCAATGTCCAAATTTAAAAACATTGCTGAACAAATATATGTAGCAAAAAAAATCTGATGTAGCAAAAAAAAATTTTGATGCAAAATTCAAAAATATTTCTCTAAAATAGCAACTGAAGTCATTAATATAAGATGAGTAGAGCAATATTAAAGCAAAAATAATAAAATCTGCTTGAATCCCTGCCAAAAAGATTAAAGTATATTTTAAAAGCTAACAATAATTCAACAACTAAAGATTTTAAGAAGTACTTTTTCCTTCCTTTCATTTGATGGAGTAGTATAATCCAATCATTTTTTGCAATATGATTTTCTCACCCCCCAAAAAAAATTAATTTTTGCGATAAAATTTTTTAATTCAGTATTTTCTTGAAAAAAATATATAATGTAAAAACTAGATAAATGCATTTTTTTTTTTACATAACCAACATTTTAATTTCACTTGTCATTTTGTTGTAATAATATGTTATTCAAAATAAAAGGAAACATGAGAATTATTTGAGAGTATTGAAAACTTTTTTGAGATTATTTTGGAAACTAAAAGTGTCACATCACTTTTGTGAGACACTGTTAATTGCAAAACAGGATTTTTCTTGATCATTGTGAATATTTATTTTTGTAATTTATGAAAAGTATATTTCTTTTCAGGAAAAAATAATAAAATTGACCAAAGAAGTTGATGAATGCCTGGAACTCAATCAACAGAAGGCAGCAATGGAAGAAGCAAGACGACAAAATGCTATTCATAATCGTTTGAAAGCAAAAGGAGACTCACTAATAAAATAATTATGAATTTAGAAAAAAATTTCAAAATTCTTCTATGTACTACTTTTGTTTTTCTTAGATTATTATTAAATAAAAATGTTTAAATAAAACTTGAAGGCCTTTTTTTATGTAGACATCAATGATACATCAGTCACTTTTTTTTTTTTTTTTTTTTTTTTTTTGTTTAATGCATAGCAAATTTCATTAAAACTGGATATATATTAAATTTTATATTACATAAAAAAATGCATTTAACATGAGGATTTTCAAAATTTCAAACTCTTTTTTTTTAATTGAATTAATGCTAATGTTGTGTGGCACATAAATGTATTTTAGATGAAATATTGTGGAAAGATTTTATACTGAAATTAATTATATATATATATATATAGATATAGATAGATATATATATATATATATATATATATATATATTATTATTATTATTTTAAGTTCATGAAACCTTTTGTCTTGCATTGCAAATTCCTATGTAAACCTGTTAATTCCTGATAGTTTGTATTACTTTTGGGGTTGTTTGTATTATTATTAGGGGATAAAAGAGGAGAAAATCCTTTTTAAGAGAATATCATATCAAAGCATAAGAAATATCTAATAACATACTAGTCTTATTAAAAACTATTATATCCATAAATGGTTACACCCATAAAACAATGAAAACCCATAAAAAGTAATAACAGTGATAACTTAAAACCTAGAGTTCTGTTCTCGTGATTGCTTAAAACCTAGAGTTCTGTTCTGTGCGTTTGAATACACTGTGCCAAGTTTTCATTCTTTGTCTCACATATATCATAAATATGGGCTGTTTGCCATAAGACATCCGCCATAAAAAGCGTTCCTTATTTTGGCAGATAGCTCTACTATGCTTCACGCATATTGAAAAAAAAAAAAAAAAACTATTAAGAAGTTTTCTTTTGAAGATTACAAATTTATCTTTTCAAATGCATTGAGCCTTTAAATATAATCAATGCTTGTTTGACTGTTGTTTAAGACTTAATTTTGTCTATTTTAAATGCTGGATATGCATACTTATTGTACTTAGGATGATGCTACTTTGAATAAAATGGAGAACACTTTCTTTAAAAGATAGAGCTTTAAAAAAAAATTCCAGTTTATTTCATTCAGTACTTACTGCATTTAAGTTGTCTTTTATATATTGAATTTGTTGTATAAAGTCAAATGAAAACACCTCAACATTTATTTTTGTGAAACTTATATATTATTATATTTAGTTTTAAATTAGTGATTTGTCTCCTATTGAAACTAAAAATGGTAAGAGATAACAGAAATAATACAGGGGTGTAAAAGAAATACAAATTCTTTAAAACTTTATAGAAATAGAGAGTGCTAATAATACAGCTGAAATATTTATATCGTTATAAGAATATGCCTTGAAGTTGAAGTTTACATGGCTAATTTGCAAATGTTCTATATGTGATCCTTTTGTAACATAACTAAATTTAAAGCTATAGTCATGTTCTTCTCAAACACTATATCAATAAATCACAGCAGCTTGAGACAATGTTCATGTCCATGTCAATAGTCACAGCAGATGATGCATTGTTTAAGATCATCCAGACTTTATTGGACTTATTACTAAAAATTTAGTCCTTGTCTAATGTATTCTCACAACAAGTAATCATACAGTGTTACATCAGAATTTTTTGATAACCAACATCCATCAATCATGATGAATGCTCAATCTAATGCTGAAGCAGATTTTTGCTCATACCATGTTCTAAAATGATGCTTTAGAACAGTAACAAATTTGCTTTTGCATATTTGATCACACAGAAAGCTCTTTCTATCTGATTAGTGATCATATTGATTAACTGATATCAAGCACGCTCTCCTGTTTCTGATTTCATGAAAACAAATGAAAGGAGGAGATCATAAACTTGAAAATTTTTTCAGTGATACAACACTGCTTTCTGATAAAAACAAACTTTTTATGATTTAAAAGCATTAGTTCTGTCTTTCTTTTGAAAAAAATTTATTTTACCATGATGTGTTTCAAAAAAATGTAAGAGATTTTTATCTTTATTAGATAAAATGATTACTTTATTAGATTAAACCTGCACTGGCAAAACAGAAACGTACCGTAATATATTTTACAACACACAAGTACACTGCACACCAAAAAAAAAAAATGTGACAGTTCTATATCTACTGGGCTGGTTGACAAAATTCAAATTGTGTTTTCCATATCTCGAAAGCACGGCTTAGGATTATATTAGATTTATATATAGCATTGTTCTAGCATAGGTATTTTGACAGAAAATTAAACTTTTTCTGAAATTACATATAAATGTTTTTCTATATTTCAATTCTACAACTCAAATTATGCCTAGATATTGAATTTTGTAAAATTTGGTGCGAAACTTACGGAGAAATTCAAAAATTTATCTTGCCGCAATTTTTCCAGTTTGCGCCAAGAATGATTCACTTGACTAACTTCTTAATATATGGCAAATAATTTTTCTTTCCCTTCCATTATGCCAGAGCGGGGAAAAAACCACCTCATTCTTACCTTTTTACATTGTACATGAGCGGAAAAAAAGTCACACGTTCTTACTTTCAAATACACTCTTTTGCAAAAAAATTGAAGCACCATGAAGGAAGCGGTTATTTTTGATGAAATTGAATATGTGTATAGCTCATACACAGATAATAAAATGGTTAAAAAATCAAGGTCATAGTATCTGTTCACGGCTCACAATCACCCATTCAATGTTCAAATTAGTAGTTGGTTGAACTGCTCCTGCGGCAATGCATGCATGAGTTTGTCTAGGAAAGGAGTGGTAGAGATTCCTAATATCATCGTGCAACACATTCTGCCAGGCATTCATCGATTGTCGCTCCAGATCTGCGATATTTTGTGGTGCCCGAATCTGCCGGCCTGCCATGCCCTAGACATGCTCGATTGGTGAAAAGTCTGGTGACCTTGCTGGCCAAGGAAGAGTATCAACCACATGGAGACAGTCCAGAGATATGCAAGCGATATGTGTCCTGTCGTTATCTTCTTGGAAAATGACCCCCAGGATGATGTGCCATGAAGGGTAATGCAACTGGCCACAGGATGGTATCAACATATTGTTACGTTTTTTCTTTCTGACACCAGTTGCTATGTTATTTTCTTCCCTCACGTTCGTACAGGGTTCATGTGGATTTGGAGTGAATAACGACGACACTTGATGAAGTATCAAAACACACTCTATTTAACCAATACTGATCAGGACAGCTCCAAAGTCACATTTTACAGTCGTCGAAGATCTATCACAAACACGCTGACACAATCAGCGACACAGCCTTCAGGTTAACAGGCTATAACTGTGGAGACAGCTTCACTGCAAAGCACCTGAGTCTGCTTTTCAGAGTACAGCTCCTGGCTCTGCTTAGTCGTTCTCGGAACTCCACGTACTCTCAAGACTCTCCATGCTATACCTCGCTTCAGTTGTTGTACATCAGCTTCTTCTATCTCAGCATCACATGAACTTTCAGATGTTTCAATACTTGCTAACTGCGGCTTCGTAACTTCACTATCAGTTTTGACGAACTTAACAGTCGCATTTTCATTTTTCACTTCAGGGACTTGAGAATCAAAAGCTTCTTTCCTGTCTTTTATTTCTTCATGTTTTCGTTCTTTTTCGTTAATCCCGTTAGATATTTCATCCTTAATTTCTTGATCTTTCTCAGACAATTCATCAGCTACTTCTTTCTTTTCTTCATCCTTTGATTCTTCAGATGCTACTTCTCTCATTTCCACGTAGTTTTATGCCTCCATTTTTCTGTAAGCTCCACTTTCAGCTGTTGGAGTTGCTCTCGCACATTTTCTTGGCCGCCATTTATCTCTTCTCGTCGGCCTTTCTTGTCTTCTAGGTCTGGCTTTGATCTCAGCTGTCATCTCTTTATATCCAGCTTTTATCTCATCATATCCAGCTTTTATCTCAGCACATCCGACATTTATCTCACCATATCCGGCTTCCATCTTTTCTTGGAATTCAGCAAAGGCAGTCACGAGCTGTCTTAATAGATCTTCCATTGGTCTTGTCACTGGCATTCACCCTCAAATCCCACTTCTGACACCAGTTCGTGAGAATTTGGACTGAATAATGACAATACTACTTGATGAAGTATTGAAACACGCTTTATTTACCAATATTAATCAGGACAGCTCCAAAACGCTTTTACAGTCGTCGAAGATCTACTATAAACACGCTGGCACGATCAGCGACATAGCCTTCAGATTATCAGGCTATCACGTTGAAAACAGCTTCACTGCAAAGCAGCAGAGTACAACTCCCGACTCTGCTTGGTCGTTCTTGGAATTCCACATACTCTCGATACTCTCAACGCTACAATTCACGATGCACTCGATGACACACAGAGCACAGCTCCCGACTCTTCATTTCAGCCGTTCCCGGAATTCAACGTGCTCTCTCGACGATGCGCTAACCGCGATGCACTAAGAGACTCCTTTGGTGCACTCGCTGCCTGGCTGTCAACTCGATCGACTCTGCAGGAATTGACTTGCTAGACGAGACACCAACTCGATACTATCTATCTCGCACTCTCGAAGACACTCACTATCAGCTCGCTAGACGAGGCACACACACTAACTGACTGCGGACCAGCATGGTTTATGTAGCTTTTGGCTTGTGTTCGAGAACATTCTGAGCTAAACCGGTAAAAATTCATTCCAGGAGGTTTTCCATGTGTCTATGGCATATCGCCAATTTTGTCGCCAAATGTGGCAACCCTAAAACTGCTTTGCGGAGAAGCTATCCCACCGCGCCTGGACATTTCGTAACAATATCATTGAGCTGTTAAAGATATACGGAAGATGACTAAAGATGACCTGCTGTCACAGAAAATAGCACTCCACACCATTACACCAGGGATTATGGTTGTATGGCTTTGTAAAACAAAAGCTGATTGGGACCGCTGGCCCCATCCTCTACAGACATGAACACGGTGGTCATCTGCTTCAAGAGTGAAGCGGGATTCAACGCTGAACACTGTACAATGCCAGTCTGATGGCAGCCATGATGATCGGCTGCGACACCACTCCAGATGACTCCGCCGATGTTGTG